TGTGTGTGTGTGTGTGTGTGTGTGTGTGTGTGTGCTGGGGGGAGGGGTTGAACATGGTTTTTGCAGAAAAGGGTGCAAACAATTCCTCTGGGAGTCATGAGAATTCAGGGTGACTCGGATGAGGAAGTGTGTGGCTTGACCAGTCTACATGGCACCTATCACCAGCTAGAACAACCCTGGCAGTGCCCATTTGAGGTCAGAAAGATGAAAGGAAGTTCTCTGAGATCCATCTTGGGAAATTTCTTCTGCAGACCCTCTCTTCTTCCCTCTTAAAATCCCTCCTCTTGGGACCAACTGATCTGTCCCCAAGTGGGGTGATGAGGTGGGGAAAGGCAGGTCACACTGTGAGCCAAGTCCTGCAGGTGAAGGGGCCAAGACTGCAATCCCCCAGCCCCTGCCCCCAGAGAGAGCAATCCTTATTCTCCAAGGGCGACCGAGGACCCCGAACAGGAGGCTAAGAATCTCAGGCCTCCCCCATGGGAATGAATGGGTGGGAAACAGAACAGATATCCACAGCAGGTGGGCAGCAGGAAGGACCTCCCAGTCCTTCCCAGGCTTGACTATAGGTGAGTCTCCACCTCCTGCAACCTGAACGCTAGAAAATGGAAATGACTGAAGATCCTTCTTTGGGTGCCACAGCCAAAATGAAGGAGATAACTACAGAAAGCACATGGTCGGTATTCAAGACATGTGCTGCTCTTGAGCGTGCTCCCCAAACCCTCTCAGGCAGGAATGCACTCCTATCACCCCAAGACTTTGCATCTAAAGACAGGACAAAAACAGTGGAGATGCTGTCTTCTGTTTATCGGTAATTACCTTTGGGAAAGCTATATAGCATTTACCCCAAGCTGCTTCTGCTACCCTCCCAACCTTCCACCCAGTACTGTGTGTCTCAGAGTTACCCTGTTATGATGAAAAAGAAATACAACTCATGCCAACAAAGTTGAGGTATCAATTTCCACCTAAGTAAAAACCTAAGTCTTTTGAAGAGAAATTACATGGTCCTTATATTTACTTTTTTTTTTTAAATCCCTCTTGTGCAATCTGACCTGCTATTTTTAAAGTTTGCCTGGAAAGACTTTTCCCTTGGTCCCCCACCCTTCCCACAGCCCCTTCCTGTGCTTTTACTCCCCTCTCACCTGCCTAGGAAGCCACAGCTTTAGGAACTGACACTCCTCCTTATGCCCTGCCTATTTGGGAAAGATAACGGTCTAATGGAGCTATTGACCCAGCCTGGTGTTGGTGACCTGTTGACTTCCCAACCTGCCTGTTGATTCTTCAGACGCCCTTAGAAATCTTTTTACTGTAAATATTTGATGTGTGTTTGTGTGTGTGTGTGTGGGGGTGAAGTCTGGATTCTCACTCCACTACCTTGTTCAGTCACGGGAAGCCCCTTCTCCCCGGTTTTCCGGCTGTTGCCTGCTTCTCCCTCCCTCCAGCTCCTAGGGGCCAGCCAAGTCAGGAGGGGCCGACTTGGGGATGACTCCCGGCCAGGTGCTTTTTAGCTCAGTGGTAGGGGAGTGGTCTCCTTCACGTCCATCAGCATCCCTCCGCAGAGAGGAAGAGCTTTGCTAATGTGGTCCCACTCCACGGCCCCTGGATGATGTTTCCAAGCAGATGTGGGTTCTGCAGTCCAAGGTGCAGACTCTGCGCTCTTCGCCTTGGCTGGGGTAGGGCTCCCAGCGACCATCTGTGGAAGCCAACTGACGCGCATGTTTACACCCCCAACCCCGGACGCCCACACACCTGAAACGCAGGGGACTTCCCAGAGCAGATAAAAAGATTCAACCTGCTCAGGGTGGGACCCGACACTCCCCGCCGCGCCCGGAGGTCCTGGAGCAGGAAGAAGCTGGGACCACACTGTCGTCCCTGCGCTTGTCGCGGTCATTTAGCAGAGCAGCCAGATTTGGGCGCAGCGTGGGTGTTCAGGGACGCACCCGACTCTGGAGGCAGAAGAGGACAAACTAAGAGGCGCTGCGGAGGCCTCGCGGACTAGCCCTGCTGCCTTCGGAAGGCGCGAGGCCAACACGAGACGAGGTGTCTAGCCGCCGGGCACTCACGGGGACCCAGGGGCCACACACGGGAGGGCAGACAGAAAACTGGGGTTGAGCCTCTGAGTCCTCCAACCCCAGGCGCTGTCCCCGCCCTGCCACCTCGGCTCAACACCCTGGGCTGTTTAGGACCTGGAGGCGCAGGGGCGGGGCGACAGGCGGCTGGACGGTGACAGGTGCGCCCCTCGGCCAATCGCTGGGCTGGCGCCCCTCCTCGGCCCCCGCCTCGCGCGCCAATCCGAGGCCGCGCTGAGCTTCAAGTGCGCGGAGGGGCGCGGGTCCGCGCCACGGCGCCAGCGGCCTCGGCGCGGTAGCCTGCGGGCTGGGACCCAGAGTCGGGCGCCCGGGCCCAGACGCACGTCGCGTGGGAGTTTGTCCGAGTGCGAGCGCGTGTGAGCGCGGCCCCAACGGGGTTCGCACGGAGAGGCGCCTGGAATATGATAGCCCTCCGCTGAGTTTCCGGCGGTGACTTCGATTCTTGGCAAATACTCACAATAACCATACCGAGCCCCGGGGCTTGCCACCGTCGGGCACAGACTCCGTGAGCCCGCACCCGGCCGCGTCGTCCACCACCGGGCCCTGATTGCCAACCCCAAACGAGCAGATGGAAAAATCCAAAAATTTCCGCATCGACGCCCTGCTGGCGGTGGACCCGCCGCGAGCCGTCTCCGCGCAGAGCGTGCCGCTGGCCTTGGTCACCTCACTCTCGGCCGCCGCAGCTGGACCCGGCGGCGGCAGCGGCGGCGGGGCGAGTAGCGGGGCAAGCGGCAGCGGCAGCCCCACATCCTCCGAGCCCACCGCGGCACCCGCCGACCGCCTGCGCGCGGAAAGCCCGTCTCCCCCGCGCCTGCTGGCAGCGCACTGCGCGCTGCTGCCCAAACCCGGTTTCCTGGGTGCGGGCGGCGGCGGCGGCGGCGCGGGCAGCGGGCCGGCGGGGCCCCACCACCACGCTCACCCGAGCGCCGCCGCCGCTGCCGCTGCCGCTGCCGCCGCCGCTGCCGCGGGGGGCCTGGCGCTGGGGCTGCACCCTGGGGGCGCGCAGGGAGGCGCGGGCCTCCCGGCGCAGGCGGCGCTCTATGGCCACCCAGTCTACGGCTACTCCGCGGCGGCGGCCGCGGCGGCGCTGGCCGGCCAGCACCCGGCGCTCTCCTACTCATACCCGCAGGTGCAGGGAGCGCACCCCGCGCACCCTGCCGACCCCATCAAGCTGGGCGCCGGCACCTTTCAGCTGGACCAGTGGTTGCGCGCATCCACCGCGGGCATGATCCTGCCCAAGATGCCGGACTTCAACTGTGAGTACCCGCGCAGCCCTGGCTGCCTGCCGTGCGCATCCTTCTCTACCCCGCACCTCCTGGGTCTCTGCGCTGGACCCCCAACGAGCTGTGGAAGTGCAGTGAACCGTCTCTGCTCTGCCCCGGGCCTGTGAGGCCCCGAGCGGGTTCCGCGGTGTGGAAGTGGAGGCGAATTATTAAAATGGCCACGGCGAAGGCCTTGCCTTCTCTTCCTCTCTTAACGGGAAGGGGCCGCTGGAGGTGTGAGACTGGAATCTAATGATTAACCTGCAGGCTAGAGGAGAAGGAAGTGGCGAAGGAAGCCAGCCGAAGAGCTCCCTGAATTAGGCAGGCCTGGGAATGGGGGGGTCACTGAAACCAGGGGCTTTTCCCTGGGAAAACGAACGTGGCCCGGTCCCCCCTTGCTGGCCTATTGAAAGATCCTCAGCCTCTCCCAGGAGAGGGAGATCCTGGAACAGCAAGAAAAGGGGGCTCCCAGGAGCTCATGGCTGCAAGGCCAGGGCTCAGGCACTCCCCTGGCCCTTGCCCAGGCACTACCCTCCTCCAGAAGGATGCTGGGTCTCCTTGTGATGTCCAGGAGGCCTTGTATGGGATTCTTAAGCAGCAGGTGCCTGCCCCAGAATCGGGGAGCCCATCAGTTAGGAGCCCCTCTCCAAGGTGGGAGCAAGCCCAGGAGTCCCTGGGCTGCCTGGGCTTCTTAGCCATCCCCAGGGGGACACCTCCTGAAGGCCAGGCCAGGTTCTGTTTTACTGGCAATCAGGACTCACTGGGCAGGCACTCATCTCAGGCTCCCCTGCTTGGCATCCCACCTGGGTAGGATGGCTTAGAGTTAGGCCAGAACAGAAGATGTATATGGCTTTATGCTTTCAGCCGCCAAACACCCAAACAAAGAGACCCCATTGTTTCCGTCTGAGTGGATTTGTTTAGACTGGGGGATGAAGGCACAAGAGGGGGAAAAGCAAAAGAGAAAACAGAAATAAACACTTGCCAGGATTCGGATTCCTCTGTTAGAAGCCATGGTTGTGACTAAACAGAAAAGCCAGGACCCCAGAGGGCTGGAGGAGTCACAGGGGGGTGAGAGAATCCAGCCTGCTGTTTGTCCACAGCACCCCCACCACTTTCCCCAAGCATGGCTCCCAGAAGGCCTTACTGACCACCCATCCCTGTCTTGAAGAATCAGCTCCTACCTAAAAAGAAGGGGAAAGCCTCTTTCCCACTTCAGGGGGAGGGCTGAAGCTCAGATATCTCAAACTCTGCTGGTCCTGCCCACTAGGCCCAGGGTACCCTCTGGGTCTGGACACTGAGCCCAGCAGACCCCATCTGATGCAAAGCCACCCATGGCTTTCCTGTAGCTTTATGACCTGCATTGCCCAAAGCCTGGGGTTCTGGTTGTCCACTGAGCAAGGCCTGGTCTCCATACAGGCCTCCTAGAGCATAGGTTCCCTGGCCACCCAGGTGCTTTCTGGGCCTTCATGGGACCTAAGGTCAATTAAAATGGAATTCCCTTGCCAACACACCTCATCATCTCTAATTCCTAGTCTTGGTGAAATTAAACACACAGCCAGTTCTAAATTTGGAAAAGGAACCCGAGCTCCATGATCCTAAAGGGCAATAAGAAATGCAGGCTAGGAAGATGGAGAGTGTTCCAAGAGGCCTCCCCTCTCGCCTCTGGAAAACCTGCTTGGGTTCCTTTAACTGGTTGTCTCTGCCCATGGGATGGCACTTCCTAAAGGGTCCCTTCCAGCCAGTGTTTTAATTAAAGTTCTAATGTCTTGTCAAGTTGGGAATTCGCCCTTGTTTAACTAAAGCAGGGGGCGTGGGCCTGCCTATAAAGCAAATTGCCCGTCCCCGGGGAGCCTGAGCTCATCCCAGCCCGGGCTGGCCTCTTTTCTTTCCTTTGCTTTCTTTCTTTTATTGTCTAACACTTGTCAGACTCCTGGGAAATCAAGGGAAGTCTCGTTTTGAGGTCATAAAATTCTCTGTGATGTAACCGTGTGAAATTATGTAAATAAAGCCGACAGGCCTCTGGAACACACAGCAAGCCATCCACCCACGCCTTGGCCTTTAATTTGGGTAATGAGAATTATCCTGAAAAGGCTTCCAATCTCCTCTGGCTTTGTCCCCTGCAGCTGAGGAGGGGGTTGTCAAGAATACTTGAAGCAGGGAGGGTTCTTGACGAAGACCAATCTCTAGGTCCCAGGTTTGGTCTCTTCCCATCCTTTCTCCCTCCTTTTTTATTTTTTATTTTTGTTTTGTTGTTATGGGTTTGCTTTGCCATTCTCCTGTTCTGTTTTAAGGAGGTGGTGGTGGGAACCCTGCACCAGCAGGACCGGCTTCCCCCCAAACCGGTGTGGATTTGGGCAGTGAGAACAGGGAAGGAGGGGGTTCCTCTGGGCCCTCTTCTCTCGCCTTCTGGTCAACCCTCTTCCTACCAACCTACCCACTCGGGCAACAGGCTTTGCCCCAGACAAAACGATTGACCCTGCAGTTCAACCGAGGGTCTGGGTCCTGGGTCCCTTCTTCCTTCGGAGTGGGCACTGAAGGGGGGGGGGGGGGCCCCGGGGCCCCGGGGGGGGGGCTTGGGGGGGGGGCCTGGGGGGAGGGATACGGGCAGCCGTCTGAAGGAGCGGCAGAGGACAGGGCGGCCGCGGCGGCCTCACCGGCCTCACACCTGCTCGATCCTCAGCCCAGGCGCAGTCGAACCTCCTGGGGAAGTGCCGCCGGCCGCGCACGGCCTTCACTAGCCAGCAGCTGCTGGAGCTGGAGCACCAGTTCAAGCTCAACAAGTACCTGTCCCGGCCCAAGCGCTTCGAGGTGGCCACCTCGCTCATGCTCACCGAGACCCAGGTGCGCCGCCTACCCACCGCCCTAGCGCGTCCTGGGCTCCCGGGGTGGCTGTCGCCTCTGTTGTCGTGGGGATCTAGGACCGTGCCTCTTGACCCCAAGGGTGCGGACTGTGAATTGAAACTCCGTCGAGGCGTTAGCCCGCGAGTCTCTGCCCGCGATAGGCGTCTGCTCCAGTAGGTTGGGGCGAGGACCCAGATCTGCATTTAACTTCCCTCCGCTCCCCATTCTCAAGAGAGTGTTCCGCGGGCTACGTTCGAGAAGTTTTGTCCCAGAAAGAGGGGAGGGGACGTTCTGAGATTTTATTAGAGAGACCTGCCCCGCTGCCCTGACCCCTCCGCAGAATGCTGCGCGGTAGAAAGTGGCTGGCCCGGGGAGGTGGGGACACCTATAGTCCGAGCTGCCCTGGGCCCCCCAGCCCCGCTCTGGGTCTGCTGATGAGTAGGGGAGGGGAGGAACCGTAGGGAGCCTCGGCCCGTCCGAGGTCCCCCATCCGAAGCCCCCTGCAGGGCGAGGGCGGGCGGAGCGGCCCCAGACCCTGGAGAGGAGACTCGGGACCGAGGTGCGGGTTTCTCACGCCTGCTTCTGCTCGCAGGTGAAGATCTGGTTCCAGAACCGGCGGATGAAATGGAAGCGCAGCAAAAAGGCCAAGGAGCAGGCGGCGCAGGAGGCCGAGAAGCAGAAGGGCGGCAGCGGGGGCGCCTGCAAAGGCGGCGCGGAGGAGAAGGGCGAGGAGGAGGCGCTGGGGCCGCCGGCGTCTGGGGACAAGGCCAGCGGCCGTCGCCTGCGGGACTTCAGGGACAGTGACCCCGAGGAGGACGAGGACGAGGACGACGAGGACCATTTCCCCTACCGCAACGGCGCCAGCGCCCACACCGTCTCCTCCGACTGCTCCTCGGAGGAGGACTCGCCGCCCCCGCGGCCGGGCGGGCACCAGCCCCCGCCCCAGTAGGAGTCCGCGGCCGGCGCCCACCCTCCTCGGAGGAGCCGTCCGTCTGCGCGGGGCCTGGGGCTCCTGACAGCGCCAGGGAGACGGGCGGCTCCAGCTGGGACCGTGGTTGTGTTAATGTGGGGTAGTGTTGGCGGGAGGTGTTTGGGAGGCCTCCCGTCTTCCCGCGTCTGAGAAGGCGGAAACCGACAGTGTTAAATGACCTCTGAAACTTGAAACCTTCTCTGGAAATGCCATTCTGATGAGTATTGGAAAGGGTTTTACGCTTATGTATCTTATGGGGAGAAACGTGTGCCATGAGCAAACTGCTGGAAATTTCAGAACCGTACTGTCTTTATTTTTGTATATTGTATTTATATATAAAGAAAGAACCGTCTACTTATGCATGCTAAATTATTATTTAGCTTCTCCCATCGCCCAGGATGGAATGTAAAATAAAATGGTTTTCTACTTGATAAGCGTGCAGATCTTTGGGGCAGTCTCACTGCTGCGGTTGCGGGGAGAGGGAGGGTTTCTACCCCAGGACTGACAGCAGAGTGTGTGAATCGGAAGCACAGTGGCTGTCAGGTCCACCTCACACCTGAGACCCAGTGGAACCTGACTCTGGTGGCGAGTGGGCGGGAGGGGTGTCCCAGGAGTGAAGTGTTGGTAAAGTTCCGAGGCCAGGTGTCAGAGCGCTGGTGCTGATTCACACCTGTCCCTGGCACGTCTGGGTGTGTGTACTACCCTATTCCCTTGGTGGTTCAGAAATGAAAATACACTGAATGTTTTGGAAAAGAAGCTTCAAACGATAGACTGTGGTACATGGGGGTCTGCCCAGCCCTAGGCACTACCGAAGCATATTTCCCAGAATGCTCTGATTTGAGCGGCGCCTCTCTTTCTCCTCCACCCCGGCCTTCGCTGCAGGCAGACCGTTTTGTGCTGGCCTGGAACAGTTTTCCTGGATTTGTGCAAATGTCCGAGAGGGCAGCAGCAGGCTGCAAGAATGCTGCTCGTCAGGGCTGCCATGGCTCTGGGTTAATAAACCCTGCAATGTGTGCCATCAATCAAGGGCCAGCGGCCCGCTGGCCATGTGCGGCACACATGCGGGCGCAAGCCGCGGCCCACGGGACCTTGCGCTGTCCCTCCCCGCCTGGGCGCGCAGGCCGGCCGCCCAGCGGACCCTGCCGGTACTCGGTTCCTGCTGCTGACCCTGTGGGCTCATCCAGGGATGCCGCAGGAGCCTTCCTTCTGTGGGTCACTTTCTCACCTGGGCCTGGGCCGCAGCCCCTCCCGCCTCTCCCTGCCCTTTCCCAGCTGATGAATGAGTTCAGAGGGCCTGGCGTTTCATTTGGGTGATTACCGCGGGGTGCACGGGGCACTCAGTACCTCAGAGCCGGGCGAGATTAATATCCTCCCTGGCAGCTCATTATCACCCCGGGCTTCTGCGTCCCACCCGACGGCGGGGCGGGGGTGAGGACAGCGAGCCAGGCCGAGCCGCTGCTGCACGCACGCGCCAGGCCGCGGGGCTTCGGCTGCCTTGGGGTCCACAGTCGCTTTGGGGGACGGGGTTTGCGACTGGTGGAGAAGGTTGAGGGCCCGCGGAAATGGAGTGGGAAAGTCAGAGGGGAGCGGAGGGGAGAGGGCGGACGTCTTTGGGGGTTAAAAAACGGCAACCTGTACGCGTCTCCGTTAATCTCTACCACATTGGCAGGTCAGCCTGAAGCGGCTGCACATCTGGGGGTTATTTCCCCCCAGCTCAGCCCGCCCGGCTTCACTCCGCGCCGCCCCCAACCCAGAGAAGCCAGGGAAGGGGGGCCGGGCTTAGAAAGTGGTTTAACATCCGGCCCTGGGACCCCGGGCGGGGGTCCCAGCCAAGGTTTTGTCCCTCTACCCCAAGGCAAGAGCGGCCCTGGAGGGAGATGGGTCGCCAAGCCCCCGCCCGTCCTCCTGCCGAGCAAGGCCCGGTTTGGCGCGGGGACCGGCCAGCGGCCCAGATCCTGCAGCCCGCGGCTTTAATCGCGGCGGAATTTATCTCGCTAATAAATTTAATGATCAATTCGTTCTTGTCACAGTAGCTCTTCCCCAAATCAATTATAGCAAATTTAAATATAATCACTGGCTCGTCCTCACCCACTCCGGGCACGGCGCACAATTCATTCCGCCTAATGAACGCCGCCGGCCCTGCTCCGCCTAGCTCCAGGGCGCGCCCCCATCCAGGCACCGCGGGCCGCGTCCCGACCTGGCTGGGCCCGGGGCGGGCCGCCTCCGTACCTGGCCTCCGACCTCGAAGCGCACCGCGCCTCGGGATGGCCCCGCGCTCAGGGAGGTCTCTGCAGCCCCACGGCGGCTCCCCAACCGAGCCATCCGGTCTAGGCCGAGGGAGCCCCGAGGGCGGGGATTCCAGGCTTTGTTCCCAGGCCGCCCCACCGCCCCTCGGAAGCCCTGCGGCCCCTGGGTCCGTGGACTGTGCGGTCTCTCTCCACCCTAGACGCCAGCCCAGTGCGCTGCCTTGGCACTGAGATGCGGGGCCTGGAGTCCTATGGAAGGCACTGTCCAACGCTGACCCAACCAGGGGAACCCCAGCCCGGACCCCTGCCCGAGGAAGGGACCGACCTATTGGTACAGGGTTTTGTTGTTGTTTGTTAGTTTTGTTTTTGTTTTTTTATTCTCATGAGAGGTTCTAACAACAGTATGTGGGTAAAGTCCTCCTAACTGGAGAAATCATCTACAGGTCCCCTCCAGACGGTGCAGGGTCACCCTCCTGCCCAGCCCCTGGTGAGAGGACAATAGAAAGTAGAGGAGATGGCCACAGTCCTGCCCTGCTACTCAGGCCCCAGGTGGCAGTCAGCTTGGAAAGAGGACTGAGGCTGTGACCCCAAAACCCAGACAACAAAAGCAAAAATAGACAAATGCAACTACATCAAACTGGACAACCTCTGTGCCACGGAGGGCAGCCCAGGGAGGAAGAGAGCATCTGCAAACCACATCCCTGTGATGATTGGCATGGAGACTGAAGAACTACCACAGCAAAACCAAAGGATGCGGCTTCACCCAGCACCCAAGAGGAGAGAGACATTTCTTCAAAGACCCACAAATGCCAAAGAGAGTAGGAAGAGATGGTCACCAGGGAAAAGACAATCAAAACCGCTGAGATCCCACCTCAGGAATTCATTAGGGTGGCCAATTAAAAAAACAACAACAACAAACAATGACACACAATAACAAGTATTTCAAAGATTTGGGGAAATCGGAGCCTTGGTGTACTATTGGTGAGAATGTAAAATGGAGCAGCCGTTAAGGAAAACAATATAGAGGTGTCTCAAAAACTGAAAAATAGAACCATCCTATGGTCGGGCAGTGAGCAGTCCCGGTTCTGGTATATATCCACAAGAACTGACGTCAGACTCCTGGAGGAACGGTCAGGTCGCCACAGCGCTGCACACAATGGCCGTCAGCAGGTGGGCAGGTTGGTAGATGTGCACAGGGGAGCAGATTCCGCTTTAACTGAAGGAACACTTGTCACAAAGTAAGCCACCACCCGGAGGGGTGCGAGGACGTCGTGCGAAGCGAAACCAGCCAGTCCCAGATCAATGCTGCCTTTCAGAGCGGCGTCCAACCCCTGGAGAGTGGAAGGGTGGCCGCCAGGGGCCCTGCGGAGGGGATGGGGAGCTGGTGTTGAGTGGGGCGTGGGCAGGCGGCAGGCTCCGGGATCTGGGGCCCACCGGGCAGCTTATAGTCAGCCCGCGCTGGGCGCCTGAAAACGGCCACTGCGGTTCTCACGGGTTTTCTTTCTTCCTTTCTTTTTCATTTTCTCCCCCCACACCCCCGCAGCGCTGGGGACGAACCCGGGGCCGAGCTAGGGTCCCAGTCCTCAGAGGTTTCCTCCCCTCCCTCCCCCTTCCTCCCTCTCCCCTTCTCCTTTTCAGTCCTCACAACGGCTAGCCTGCGGTCCCTGGGAGGGAGCCCCCGGCCCAGCGGCCTGCGGGTGGGCCTCTGCAGAGCGGACCTGGCCGGTTCCACGGGGCACCCGGGTACGCGGGTTAACGAAGCCGGCGGACTGCGCTGTCCCCCAGGGACACAGGGTTCTCAGGCCGATCTCGGGCCGGAAGTCCTCAGGACCCTGGGGCTGGCCAGGTGGGGACCCCAGGGTGGGAGTGGCCCCCAGACGCACTGAGGGGAGGTGGGTGACCGTGGAGAGGGGACCCGGGGGACCTCTGGGGGTCAGCGCAGGGCGTGGGCGCCAGAGAAGGGCGCTCCCCGGCCTGGGTGTCAAAGTCCTGCGGGGCATTGTGTCTCCCTCAATAAAACCAATCCCTCCGGAGGTGTGACCGCCACCCAGCACGCCGCAGTGTTCCGACTGCAGGGCGAGTGTTTTTCAGATTTGGCTTTTATGGTCGGATTAAAGTTTATTCTCCATAATAGGACACCTAATAAAACGCACAAGGCCGGTCGGGCCTCCAGCTGTGGCCTCGTTTAACACTCGCACTTCGTAAATCTCCCCAGGACGCGCAGGTGTGCGGCGCGCGGGCGACGGCCGGCGGCGACCGGGGAGCTCGGCCCGCGGCTGCCGGGCGCAGCGAAGGGCCGCGAGGAGCGGGCGGGTCCGAGCCCCGGGCAGCGTCCCGGGGGCTCCCGCCCGCGCCCCGGCCCCGCGCCGACCCCGCATTCCGCTGCCCGCGCACCTGCCGCCCCGCCCCGTGTACACACCCGGCCGGACAATGTGCGCTCCTCCGGGCCATTGTCCCCGGCGGCGCTCGGGGCGGGACAAAGAGAGATCCCCTCCCGCGGCCGCGGCGAGGGCGGGCGCGGTTTACCCAGCTGGGGGAGGAACAAAGGCGCGCGCCTTATCTCCCCGCCGCCCAGAACTCCGCGCAGCGCCGCTCGGGGTCAGACGGGGGGCGCGGGGCGGGACCCCTGGGTGCCACCTGAGCTGCCCCTGCCGCCGCTCGTTCCAGGAAGCGGTGACCCCACGGGCTTTCCAGTCCCTAGGGCCTCTTCGCCCAGGGCGCTCCAGGAGGCTC